CCCGAACCATTCGGATAGGTTTCTAGATATATATACAATTCCAATAAACAACCTCCTGTGTTATATAGCCGCTAATATGAGTTATCCGATATATTAGCCAAAGTAAAATTAAAAACAGAGCACAAAAAAATTATAAAAATGTGGTAGGGATTGCCATAGATTAAAAATTAAAGTCATAAGAAGTTCAAATTTAATAACTTATTTAGTCTACCGTTGGCCAATAAGCCTCATTTCATTTATGAGTACAGTAGCATCAGCCGTAATCCCCGCAACTGCGCAGGCTATGTCGTCATTGATCTTGTATATCTTTTCAGAGAAGGTGCTTTCATCCAAAAGCTTATTTATAAATCTCCTTTCCGCAGCCAGAACAATTCCATCTTTAGCTACAATGCCTAGGCAGGTACCAGCATGACTGACAGCCTCCATCGCATATTCAACTTGGTACAAGCGACCTTACAATTATCCTAAGAAGAAACTTACCTTCGGGTGAAAAAATTGTTGTCCGAGTATCATACCTTCGAGCCTAAGTCAAATGAACAACGAAAAAGGAAGACGAACCATAGGGTAAGCAAAGTAGCCAAAACGAGCGCCAAAACTTATGGTGGGGGTGAGGACAGGGACTTCATCTAGAAGAACATAAAATACCAAAATTGAGTATGGCATATAAAATAACAATTTATTTTTTAGAACTTATCTTTTTTGTTCCTGCTAATATTGCTACTATCTACATGTATTTTGCAATTACCTTAAGTTTTCGGCGCGTCCATTGCCCCTCTAGTAGCGTGTTTATTCTCGTTTTAGCTGGATCTCTTTCGTATGTATGCATTTAATTTTTTTAACCTTAATAATATCTCATGAACTATGTATGACCTATCTTAGAGATATGAGCCCTTAAGTTTGACCATATTTCACACCCCACATAATCCTAATCTTTTATTCTTCCCTAATCTTCAAAAATTTCATAGTGATAAGTAAAACGAATTGTTTTACGTTATATGCAACCCAATTTTTGCTTATATATACTGCATGACCGTATTATTTTTGCCATAGTTCCTTTCTTCTTTATGTATCATAGTAACGTTAAAACTGATATCTTTATTTTGTTACCAAAGCAGCGAATCTTCTTTTTTTTCCCATTATGCTGTTTTATCAG